CAGTGTGAAGTAAAACCAATTTATGATACCAACAAGAGCTTCATCAATGGAGGGCAACTACAATTCTCAAAAGCTTCACACACTCTTGATCAAGACAGTATGAAGCAAAACCAATTTATGGTGCCAACAAAAGCTTCAACACCAAAGCTACACCTACAAAGTTTCAAAACAAAAGTCTTCACTTACAAAGCTTCAATACCAAAGCATCACCTACAAAAGCTTCAACTCCAAAGCTTCACCTACAAAGCTTCAACACAAAAGCTTCACTTACAAAGCTTCAACACAAAAATTTCACATACAAAGCTTCAACTCTAAAGCTTCACCTATAAAGCTTTAACTTCAAAGCTTCACCTACAAAAGCTTCACATACAAAGCTTCAACTCTAAAGCTTCACCTATAAAGCTTTAACTCCAAAGCTTCACCTACAAAAGCTTCAACTCCAAAGCTTCACTTACAAAGCTTCAACTACAAAAGCTTCCACTCCAAAGCTTCACCTACAAAAGCTTCAACTCCAAAGCTTCACTTACAAAGCTTCAACACAAAAGCTTCACCTACAAAAGCTTCAACTCCAAAGCTTCACCTACAAAGCTTCAACACAAAAGTTTCACCTACAAAGCTTCAACACAAAAGCTTCACCTACAAAACTTCAACTCCAAAGCTTCACCTATAAAGCTTCAACACAAAAGCTTCACCTACAAAGCTTCAACTCCAAAGCTTCACCTACAAAAGCTTCAACTCTAAAGCTTCACCTACAAAGCTTCAACACAAAAGTTTCACCTACAAAGCTTCAACTCCAAAGCTTCACCTACAAAAGCTTCAACTCCAAAGCTTCACTTACAAAGCTTCACTACAAAGCTTCAACACAAAAACAATTGTAGGTGAAGCTTTTGTGTTGAAGCATTTGTAGGTGAAGCTTGGCTACTAGCAAGACACCTCATTCGTCAACTCCCTCGACCAGAGACTTAGGGGACTCCTACCATATGCTGCTACACCTCGGTACTTGGAAGGTTCACGACTACTCAGTGACTTGGATCTTTCAAGTCTCCAACCGAGAAGTTTTCCTCATTCGGGAAATTAAGGGAGCACTACCTCAACTTACATGCTTCACTCACAAAACTTCAACATACAAATTTCAACAAAAGAAAAAATTCAAAGAACTTAGTGAAGAAGGCTTTGGTGTATTTAACACAATACGTTGAAATGAAGCAAAGCTTATTTATTGATATCTCCGATAAGTTACAAATATGTACATATACATGAATCAAAATAAACAAACAAGAATGAGCCTTCACACAAAGGTTGCTCAGGAGAAGTCTCAGCAGTCAGCAGAGCCCCAGAAAGAGGAGGCACCGGAGGGTGATCATTCGGAGCCTCAGTACTGGGCAGAACCCCAGAAGAATGAGGCACCGAAGGTTGATCATTTGGAGCTTCATTACGCGGTACAGCCCCAGAAGACGAAGACAATAAATGCCTTTGGAACAAACCCACAAACCTCTGATGATCAAGTAAAATCTGACCATCAGATTCCTGCAGCTGGTCAAGCTTCATCTTAATGTTTGTAGCATAGTCATGTGCGAGCATGTGCAACTGTTTATTCCCATGCTTGAGCCATTTGATCTCCTGTTTGAGACTTATCACTTCAGCCGCCAATGATTCAACTTGGCGAGTTCGAGCAAATAGGCGTTGGGCCATATTAAACATAGAACCTGCACACTGAACACTAAGAGCCAGAGAATCCTTAACAACCAACTCATCAGACCGTTACGAAAATAGTTTGTTATCTCTCGGAGTGAGAAGGTTCCTGGCCACCACCACAGCAGTCATATCATTCTTCATCACAGAGTCCCCAATGGCAAGAAGACTAATAGGGGATAAGAATGAGGGGCGCCATATGTTGTCTTGAGGAGACATGGCTGCCTCTTCACCAAAGTTCAAGTTAAAACGACGGTCGGATGTGCCAAACATTTTCAGAAATGATGAAGGAAAAATGAGTCCAATAAATCTCTGAAGTACAAAAATAAGGGGAAAATTCCTATAAGCAATAACTATATGAACGTACTTCTTGCACACAATTGGTGCCCCTATAAAAGAAAGGGCAGCATGGCCGTTTGTCCAAAAATCGAAGAGGCACCACTCTCCGGATTTCGAGAAGTGGATTTTCCTGAGTAAAATATGTCGACAATCCCCATACGCAACATCGGCTCATTTGGTACCATGGATAATTTGCCAAATATCTCTGACAAAGTTTAGACACATAAAATTTAAAGGTCCAGCTACCCTACTATTACCTACAAGGGTAAATGAACAACACCACTGCTTGATAACTAGTAAGTTCCAATGTGTGTCAACATTCGTGCTCCGTGGCAAGGCAGACTGGCAAAAATATCTAACCTTTACTCACATCCGAGAGAACACTCCCAACAGGATTACTTGCTAAAAAATCGAAGAGGTACCGCTCTCTAAATCTCGAGAGCCAGACTCCTACCAGGAGTGCTTTCTCAAAAATTAAAGAGGCACCACTCTCTAAATCTCGAGAGCCAGACTCCCACCATGAGTGCTTTCTCAAAAATCGAAGAGGCAACGCTTTCCGAATCTCGATAGCCAGATCCCCAACAGGATTGATTGTTCGAAAATCGAAGAGGCACCGCTCTCCGAACTTCGAGAGCCAGATTTCCCAGGATAAAATTTGTCTACAATCTTCGCACGCAACATCAGTTTTCCAGATACCACAGACCACTTTTTCAAAGTGCTTTGACAAAGTTAAAACATGCGAATATTGCAGCTCCCACTACATTACTATGACCGGGAAGGGTAAAGAAACAGCGTTACTACTCGCTGTTGGGATAATTCATATATATGTTGACCTTCATCATCCACAACCAGGCAAACCTGCAAATAAAAAAAATGCTCAACTTTTCTTCACATCCAAGAGGGTACTCTTAGCAGAGTCTCTTGAAATACTCAGTTTCTTTTCCCCCCAATAATACCTCTGCAAACAAGCCACACCAGAGCAAGAGTATCTCATATCATCAGGGTTAAAAGTAAGGGTATCCCATATCATGCTTTTTCCCTGTCTTTTCATTTGCCATTGCTCTTACCTGCAAGACAAGGAGAAAGAAAGCAATCAGTTGGAAACTGAAATCAAACTTCCGATCTGAAACTGATTGCCCAGAACCTTTGCTTGGTTGCTCACCTAGCATTGCTCGAGTACTCATCCTTAATTGTTGTCAAGGTCGCGAATTCTTTCGACAAATACCTCAGAACACTTGGACCATTCAAATGCAAAGGTTGCGCACCACTTCTGCGATGCAAAAGATTGAAGTAGAAGGTTCAACGATGAGCTGGAATAGATCACTATAGCACGACGCCCTTTGCAGAACCGCATAATCCAGACGGATGAGTCTAAGTCAAATCCAAGTTCGACATCGTTGCTCTATCCGAATAGCTTGAGAAGCTTCAACAACCTTTCGTTAACACCGTCACCAAAGAGCAAAGCCTCGCCATGCCATATCCACTACTTTGTCAACAGCAAAGGTATCCCATATCATCAGGGTCGAACGTACTCTAGATTTGATGGACTTGTTTTAACCCTCAAATTCTTGAGTCGGCCTTATACTCTGGAGGAAACTAGAAAACCCTCTAGCCCAGTTCAAGAATAAGCTTGTGGAAAGTTACTTCTTCAAAAGCAAAAGTATCTTATATCATCTATTCTCATTTTTCTTCTCTTTATCCTTCTTGCTACCTGCAAGATAGGGAGAATGAGAACAATCAGCCGGAACTTGAAATCAATTTTCTGATCTGGGACTAATTGTTTGGAACTCTGATTGCTTACCTTGTCTGTCACCTCTTTCGGTAGATCTCCTAGCTCGGCGACTTGGGGGACTCTTACTACATGGTTTGTATCGCGCTTGACCAAGCCTGAAACTACAAGTAAGCTTCAAGTGAAATTAATACATTACCTTGTGCATCTCCACCAGTTAAAAATATCATCCCTGGATGGAGGAAAAGTACTTCCAGAGAAGATGCCACATCTACCTATGAGACAGATAAGGCAAGTGAAAGCGATACCACACTTCGGTACTTAGAAGTTTTGTGATTACTCAGCGGCTTGGATCTTGCAAGTCCTCAACCGAGGAGCTTCCCTCACTTGGGAACTTAGGGGAGTACTGTTTGTACCATACTTGACCAATTCCGAAACTACCGAGCACCGGTCAACGTAATACTGTCAAGGACCCAGAGGAGTTTCCCTCAAATCAAGAGGCCAATCACAGCGCGACACGTGTCGACATAAATCATAGCGCGACACGTGTTAACATCAGAAGTCAATCACAACACGATACATGTCAATATCAGAACAAAGCTAGAAACTCTTTTCTATAAAAGGAGATCATTCTCCCATGATGTTGTCTAATGTCATTTGTATTAAATCATTCACTAGTACTCACAAAATGAGAGCTTGAACTTATGTACTTGTGTAAACCCTTCACAATTAATGAGAACTCCTCTACTCCGTGGACGTAGCCAATCTGGGTGAACCACGTACATCTTGTGTTAACTTCCCTATCTTTATCCATTTACATACTTATCCACACTAGTGACCGGAGCAAACTAGCGAATGTCACAAACTTAACACTTTCTGTTGTACAAAGTCCTCACTGATTTTGTGCATCAACAAATATAATCATCATTTCGAGTCTTCAACGGTCAAACAGTGGTTATATTAAGTACATATACTTGCATGAATTCTATATGATCATTAGATGTTGATTGTATTAAATACAACCAAGTATTGCAGCTATTCCCACAACATACATATTTCAACAATAAAAAACTTGCATTTACATGATTTTACTGTTATAGTTGTTATATTTAATTTTCACAATTATTAAATCTTTTTTTTCATCCTTTTATTTTTTTTACCGCTCAGTTCTACGATGTTCTGATTTCATAAATTCAACAAGAGCTACTATTTTTAAATAAAAAAACTATAATCTCGTGGGATTTACATTTGGGGATGATAACAAAAAGAAGCATCCAACTGAAACTCGAACTTAGCCGGCCACCTCGTATACTTCTCGTCGGAATTACATTTAGGGATAATAACAAAAGAAAGCATTCAACTTAGCCGGCCAGCTCGTATATTCTCAGTGGTTACTTGTGCCCTCGACGATCCTCTATAAGGTCGCAAACTCTCACCACCAAACTTGAATTTACCGAACTTTCCAATTGCAGCACACAGAGAGAGAGAGACTCAGTAAGCATGGCTAACGGCGACGAACACGGCGTCACTCACGACCTCCTTTCTCTCCTCTCCTCCGCCGACAGAAACTTCCTCCTCCGCAACAACGGCGACCAGGTAAAACTAAAACCATTATATTTTCTCATCAAAGTTTCCGACGGTATGTTCATTAACATCGCAGGAAACTATTTGTATTTTGTTCGTAAAGTATTAAAATGTTAATCTATATGTAATTATAATAGAAACCCAGGTGATTAAATGCTCGGGAATTGCCTAGTTCAATCTCAAAATGTTGACTTTGGCATTTATGAAAAGAAAGACTGATTGAGATGGCTGGTTTTTTATTTCTAGGTAAAATGGTGATTTTTTTATGAATATGTAGGTTGAGATCAGTAGTTTGACCGGAAAAATTGTGGGGTTGTATTTCTCCGCCACGTGGTGCGGCCCGTGCCTCCGATTCACCCCAGACTTGGTGGAGGTTCACCAGGAATTGGCGGCCAAAGGCGACTTTGAAGTTGTGTTCATCTCTTCTGATAGAGATGAGGAATCGTACACTGGATACTTCTCTAAAATGCCTTGGCTTTCGATTCCCTTTTGGGATTCGGAGACCCGGAAACGCCTCAAGGAGTTCTTCAAAGTCAGGGGGATTCCCAATCTTGTCATTATTGATGCCAATGGGAAGGTTTCCATTGATGATGGAACTAAAATTGTGAGGGACTACGGCGCCAATGGTTATCCGTTCACTGCGGAGAGGTTTGCAGAGCTCGTTGAGATAGAAAAGGCAGAGGAGAAAGCTCAAACCCTGGAGTCAATTTTGATTTCCGGGGATCGAAATTTTGTCATTGGAAAAGATGGAACTCAGGTAAGACATATAGGTTCCCCGCTTTTGTGGTTTATACCGTGATATTCTTGTGTGTAAATAACTTGTATGTGCGTGTGCATCTGTGTGTTTTCTGTGGTAGCATGTGAATAACAACTATTATTTCTGCATTCAGATCCCTGTGGCAGATCTAGTGGGGAAGAACATCCTCCTTTATTTCTCAGCTCACTGGTGCCCTCCATGCCGCGCCTTTCTGCCAACACTCGTTGAAGCCTACCACGAGATTAAGGCCAAGGACGATGCATTTGAAGTCATTTTCATCTCAAGTGACAGAGACCAAGACTCTTTTGATGAGTTTTTCGCTACAATGCCATGGCTTGCTCTTCCCTTTGGTGACTCAAGGAAAGCGTTCTTGAGTCGCAAATTCAAGGTCCAGGGCATCCCCATGCTCGTAGCAATCGGTCCTACTGGCCAAACCGTCACAAGAGAAGCAAGAAATCACATAATGGCTCATGGGGCGAAAGCTTATCCTTTCACCGAAGAGCATCTTGAAGCGGAATCTGAGGAGATGGCAAAGGGGTGGCCTGAGAAGTTGAAGAGTGCACTCCATGAGAAGCACGAGCTTGTGCTCTCGAAGCGCACAGTTTTTGTGTGCGATGGGTGCAGAAAACCGGGAGCGTTGTGGTCATTCTGCTGTAAGGAATGTGATTTCGATCTCCACCCGAAGTGCGCGTTCGAGGGAGATAAAAAGACCGAAAATGATGGCAAACAGGAAGGAGAGGAATCCAAAGAAGGATGAGTTTTTACAACAGCTTAAGAAATATGTATGTGTAATGTGTGTGTGATATAATAAGGCTTGACTCTGCATTTAGCGTTTCATGACAAGCTAAGAAATGTGTTTTCAGTTTAAAGTAGTGACTTGTTATGTTGATGTCGCTTCAGATGGTGCAATATTATAATTATTATTATAAAATGGATTGATAAACTAAGAATTTGACGGTAATTATTTCGTTTTTAGTTTTTTTTTTTTTTTTGTGCTTTGGTTAGTAGAAAAATATTAAAAGTGTTATTTATATATTTATTTTTTAATGTTTACACTTCTTGTTAATTTTAATTTTTTATTATTAATTTTTTTTAATTTATTTGATTCAATGATAAAAATATTTAAAAAACGAGTGATAAGTAAAAGTAAATTTAAGATATAGCAGTACCCTACCACATCTCTCCTACCTTTTCTATTTTTTGGTCATATATTCCACAAATGAGGCCCCCACCCACCTCATCAACACCAAAAATGCTACCTACTACAGGGGACACTACGGATAAGGAGGTTTTGACCCAAACATCTCCCCTGTCTTTTCATGACCCAAGCTTGTTTGGAAAAAGCTTATAAATGATTAAAAATATTTTTAGAGAAAATATTTTTAAAATAAATTCTTACTAAAAATGCAAGTTAATTATAGAAAAGCATATAATTAATACTAATGGAACTCAATAATATTTTCTCTATAAACACTTTCAATCATTTAAAAGGAACTCAATAACATTTTCTTTAAAAACACTTTCTAAACGAGCATGAGTTCTTTGTGGATAATGCTTAGGTAGCTGTGTAATTACTTTCTAATTTAATTCAATGAAAATGTCACGGCGTTCTTTATTTTTTAAAACAAAAAATAATTAATAACATATTCATTATTTTTAAAACAATAAAATGTGTGCTAAATATTATTGGGCAAAATTAAAAGGTAAGTATTCACTAGTGAGTACTCAAGCATTATCCTTTTGTTGCTGCTACATTACACACGAATTGACTACAATATTTACATGTATTTTATTTCATTTCGATTCTTCTATGGTCAAATAGTAATTGTATTAAATACATATATTCACATGAATTCTATGATTATCGGATGTTCATTACTTCATTGTTTTAGTTAAATACATCCAAATATTGTAGCGAGTCCCACAATGTATATATTCCAACAACAAAATACTTGCATTTACATGATTTACACATACAAGCATTTTATAGGGAGTAATGATAGGTAAACTAAATTTACAAATTAAATGATGTGTCACCAATAAAAAAAAATAAGCAGGTCAATCAACACTTAAATAATAATTTAATTATCGACTTTATATCATTTAGTTTACAAATTTAAATCTCTCTAACTTTACTCTTTTACAAGTGTTATAGTCATTAAATTTGATTTTCACATATATAAATCTTCTATTTCATTCATTCATTTAGTGCTATGATCTTCTATTTTCAATTGTTTATGAGTGTGTCATAAATTCAACAATAACTACTATTTTTAAATAAAAAACTATTACCTCGTGGGATTTACATTTAGGGATAATAACAAAAAAAAGCGTCCAACTGAAGCTCAAACTTGGCCGGCCGGCTCGTTTATTGCGTGTCTTTATTATTCAGTGGTAACTTGTGCCCTTGACGATACTCAAAAAAGTCGCAAACTCTCACCACCAAACTTTCCAATTGCAGCACGCACAGATAGAGAGACTCAGTAAGCATGGCTAACGGCGACGGACACGGCGTCACTCACGACCTCCTTTCTCTCCTCGCCTCCGCCGACCGAAACTTCCTCCTCCGCAACAACGGCGACCAGGTAAAAGTATAACCATTATGTTTTCTCATCAAAGTTTCTGACTTTATGTTCATTAAGATCGCAGGAAACTATTTTTATTTCGTTCGTGAAGTATTAAAATGTTAATCTAAATGTAATTATAATTGAAACCCAGTTGATTAAATGCTCGGGAATTGCCTAGTTCTATTTCAAAATGTTGGCTTTGGCATTTATGATATGAAAGATTGAGATGGCAGGTTTTTGATTTCTGGGTAAAATGGTGATTTTTTGATGAATACGTAGGTTGAGATCAGTAGTTTGACCGGAAAGATTGTGGGGTTGTATTTCTCCGCCTCGTGGTGCGGCCCCTGCCGCCGGTTCACCCCAAACTTGGTGGAGGTTCACCAGGACTTGGCTGCCAAAGGCGACTTTGAAGTTGTGTTCATCTCTTCTGATAGAGATGAGGAATCGTTCAATGGATACTTCTCTAAAATGCCTTGGCTTTCGATTCCCTTTTCGGATTTGGAGACCCGGAAACGCCTCAAGGAGTTCTTCAAAGTCAGGGGGATTCCCCATCTTGTCATTATTGATGCCAATGGGAAGGTTTCTATTGATGATGGAACTAAAATTGTGATGGACCACGGCGTGGATGGTTATCCGTTTACTGCGGAGAAGATGAATTTCTTGATTGAGCAGGAAGCCGTGGCGAAGGAGAATCAGTCCTTGAGTTCTCTTTTGGTCTCTAACTCCCGGGATTATTTGATTTCGAAGGATGGGAATAAGGTACAACTTTTCCCCTTTGATGCTACATTGCTAGCACTTCTATAATGTTGGATTGCTATTGATTTTATATGATTGAGGTAGTTGATGATCATGAATACCGAAAAAATGTATTGACAGGTTTCTGTGTCCGAGCTTGAAGGAAAGATTGTTGGATTGTATTTCTCGCTTTATACTCACAAGCCATGCAAAGAATTTACTCAGGCACTTGTGAAGTTCCATGAGGAACTGAAGGAGAAAGGAGAGAACTTTGAGATTGTATTGATATCTCTAGACCTTGAAGAGGAACACTTCAAAGAAGGATTTCAAGTGTCATGGTTGGCATTGCCGTTTAAGGACAAGAACTGTGAAAAACTTGCTCGCTACTTTGCGCTTGAGAGCTTACCTAGACTAGTTATAATTGGGCAAGATGGGAAGACCTTACACTCCAATGCGGCTGAACTCATTGAAGAGTATGGCGCTGAAGCCTATCCGTTTACAGCAGAGAAGATTGCTGAGCTTGCTGAATTGAAACTCGAAGAACAGACTGTACAGTCACTTTTGGTTGCTGGGGGCAGAGACTTTGTGGTTGAAAAGAACGGTTCCAGGGTACAATTTTCTTGCTGGTTCCTTTCCTAATGTTCTATGATATCAATTAAATTTCAAATGTTTCTTTATTGTCATTAGTCAGAGGTTTTTTAGTTGCATGCCTCAAGTTTCTGTTGTGTGTTTGATTAGGTACCCGTGTCTGAGCTTGCTGGGAAGCACATTCTGCTCTATTTCTCAGCTCATTGGTGCCGTCCATGTCGTGCATTCATGCCTAAGCTTATAAAAGCATACAATCAGATCAAGGCAAAGGACAATGCAATCGAAATAATCTTCCTCTCAAGCGATCGTGATCATCATTCCTTCAAAGAATTCTTTGAGACCATGCCTTGGTTAGCCATCCCATTAGGCGATCCAAGGAAGGCCCTCCTGCAGCGCAAATTCAAAATCCAAGCAATTCCTGCATTGGTAGCCATTAGCCCCAGCGGTCAGACACTCAGCACGCAGGCCCGGCAGCTCATACAGGCACATGGAGCCGATGCTTATCCTTTCACCGAAGAGCATTTGAAGCAATTGGAGGAAAAGCTGGAGGAAGAAGCAAAGGGGTGGCCTGAGAAAGTGAAGAGTATACTCCATGCTGAACACGAGCTCATTCGTGTGCTCCACCACGACTATGTTTGCTGGTGTAGGGAGCCGGGAAGTGGCTGGTCCTTTTACTGCAAAGACTGCGACTTCGATCTCCACCCAAGATGTGCTTTGGGCAACAATGGAGGAACAAAGGATGACCCTCCCACGGCGAAGGATGACCCTTCCAAGGCAGCCGAGGATTATATTTGTGACGGCGATGTGTGCCGTAAAGTTTGAGAAGGCATTTGAATTCCCCTATGCATCTGGATTTTGTAAACTATGATGTTTAATACAAGCTGGTTTTGTGTGTCTTATGCTAATTGCATGATGGAAGATGTTTTACGAGCTTAATTAAGTGATGTAAAATTGTGATCCAATGAGAACTTTTTATTTGCCTGAAGATTGTCTCATAAATAAAATTGTCATGAGAAAGTTTTATTTATGTGAAATCTATTTTATTATGGATGTGTTTTCCGTTATATACTACTGTTTTTGGATATCACATCCTTAAACCCTTTAGTTTTCATCTAATTTCAAATTCATACAACATGTGACTGACAATCCAAATAATAAAATTAAAATATGGCACATTGAAAAAGAAAATAAAAATTTGGAGAAAAAATGTACAAATTAAATGATGTATCTCCAATATAAATGAGCACGTTTATCAATGCTTAAGTAATAAATTAATTATCAATTTTCATATCAATTTTTTTTAATTTTATCTACCAATTTAATTTTCTTAGTATTACTCTATTTAAAAATTCGACACTAGTGTCATTTGCACACTTTTTATAACTCATACACATTTTTTAATTTTTATTCGTTCGGATCGAAATAAATGGAAAAGGATCAAACCACAAAGTCAACAAATGCCGTGAAGGTAAAAAGGTATTTGAACCATAAAAAACCCGATTCTTGGATCAGCTTCATAAATTCGACACTGGAATGAATATTCTTCCGATTACATCTTCTCTTTAACCACTGTGAGTTAACCCATTTATTCTACTTCCAGCTTAATCTTTGAGCTTTGTTAGCTGGGTTGGTTCTGTTAATTTCCACAACTACGGGGTTTTCTGAAATTTGAGATGGGGAATTCTCTAATTATTCCGTTAATTTTTGAGTGATGTCTCTGAAATTTGAGATGGGTTTTGTTTTTTCTTGATGTGGAAAGTAAAGGTCTTGAATTTGCTGTAAACGGTTGTTGTTTCAATGGGTGAGACAGAGGTGACCACGACGAACGTAAACGTTGGCAAGAACGAGAGAAATGGGCAGCTCAAGGCCTTTGATCTGGCGTTTTCCAAAGCGTTGTTGCAGGTTCCTCAGAAGCTGCAAAATTGTGTAAAGGTCAGTCATTTCACTAAAAGCTTGTGATTTGCTTGTGGCGTTATGGATTTGACACCCGCCTCGTGACAGTCGCAGCTAAGGAGACTGGTAAAGGATGACGGAGTGAAAACGGTGAGCTGTCTACCGAAAAAGGCTGCATCTTTGGAGCTTGACTTGGAGAAGCAGTTGCAAGCATGGAGAGAAAATCCTTCTTGGGTTGATCAACCACCAGATATGAAGGTGAGAATTGCGTTTTTCTCCTGTTCTAAACTTGTAGTATGCCATATTGGTAATAGACGCCAATAGAAAAAGATGGATTCCATTTCTTAAACCATATTTGTGAAGTTCTTTGGAAAGGATAATTTCATATCAGTCAAGTTCTTGCATGTGAAGGTGGGGGCCTTGGCGTTGCGTCAATGGAAAGGTTGCTCTTTGTGACTGAAAAGTCATGAAAGCAAGGGTAAGGTTGCGTACAATAGACGTTCCCCCACCCCTTTACAAAGCAAGGAGCTTGTTGGCTGGGGGTCGCCCTTTTAGTCAAGTTCTTACTAGTCTTGGTCCCCTATGTACTAAGTATTCGTGCATAAATGCATCATGTTTCCATACCTTGAACATGGAGACCTTCACGCAGCATATGTTAGTTAAGTGAGAAATTCGAGGCTGGAAGCACATTCTCTTTGGAAGGAATATCTCAAGAGTTTGTGGCTTCTCTCGATATCTACTGACCTTAAGTCACATAATATGGTTACTCTTTGCAGGTCAGCGTACCAAAAGGTTCTCTTTGCAACCTCGGTGTAAGCGTTGATGTTGGGTTGCCCCCGGATGCAGTATATAATATTGTAACTGACCCTGATAATAAGAGGGTTTTCAAAAATATTAAGGCAAGTGATATTATTCTATCGACTTTCCTTTCAGATTCAACTGGCAACAGCTCTCTCTTTGGAAACTGAAGAGGCCTGGGAACCAATCCTTTTTTACTTTTTGATGTGTAGTGCATTTACTTTGTGTATTTCTTAATTCGAAAAGTTATAATCTGTCTCAGGAAGTGATATCCAGAAACGTTTTGGTCGATGAAGGTCATAGGCAGGTCGTTGAACTGGAGCAAGCTGCTATATGGAAGTTTCTTTGGTGGTCAGGGACCTTTGCGGTTCATGTTTTAGTAGATCAAAACAGAAAAGATCACTCAGTAAGACTCGATCTTCTTCTTGTTGCACCGTAACATAAGAACTTGGTTTTTTTGTTTCTTTTCCACTGGTTCTTTGTTACCCATCACATATTTAGAATCTCCAGTATGCTGTATTTTATCGGCAAATCATATAATAAAAAATTAGTTTAGAAACATGTTCTGCGATGTCATGGTAAAATTAGATTTCTAATTTCTAAAAATGCCATTTGCCAGATGAAGTTCAAGCAAATCAAAACAGGGTTTATGGAGAAATTTGAAGGCTGCTGGAGAATGGAACCTCTTTTTGTCGATGAAAAGACCTGCTTTCCGTTCAAACCCAAGACATGGGCAGATTATAATTCTTGCACAGGAGGCAAAGGAAGGATCGGTTCAAAGTTGAGCTTGGAGCAACTGATCCAGCCATCTATAGTTCCACCCCCACCTATTTCTTGGTACCTACGGGGAATCACCAGCAAGACTACTGAGATGCTGATAAACGACATGCTTGCGGAAGCTGCCAGATTACGAGGAGAGTTAAATCCTGAAGAGTCTAATAAAGAGAACGAAATGTCTCAGGACAGGGAAGTACTTAGTCGCGTTGATAATGTATCTGACATCAAAGAAAGATGGGCTTTGCACAGGAGGAACGCAAAGCAATGCCATCGGAGGCTACCGCCTGTCAAATGATCGAATTCTGTTGAGTTAGTAATCAATGCCAGCATTTATCCCTATTCGTTATGATTGAAATTGATACGTAATACCGTCAATAATCCGTCGAGTGTAGTGGCCTTTGCGCTGTGTATCAACTCCTCTTCCTTTCGACGAGGGTGGAGGATGAGATCGAGGATGATTCAATCCCCATGTATGTTGTACATTCTGATTGCCTGTCAGAAACTGTTTGTTGCGTCTGTCTTGTACGTTAATGTTGTAATGGCATTGAAAGAAGATGTTATAATTTGCACTAAACATTATGTTTTTGTGGTCATTGTGCCCCAAAAAGTGCTTTTAGAGTTCATAAGCACTTTTAGCATTTTGGATATTTGGAAGCGGTTTTAGCCATTTCAAAAACAATTTCGAAGTAGGCCCTTAATAGAAGCCAATAGAAGTTTGAAAGCTAAATACTAAAAGCAAAACTGTAATAACAGTTGAGAATTCATTTTATTGAACAACGATGCGCAGTTACAGTTTCTTGACAAGATACAAAACCTAGACGGATGATCACAATTCAAAATCGAACAAGTGAAGTTACATTATGCGCTGCTATAAAGTTTTCCTCCTTCTCCATCTGAAATTTTCTCTTTTTAGTTTTGAATACATGTCCTAGTATTTTATCGACAATGTTACATACGCTACGGAAGTTTCAAGCCTTTGAACTCCACGGAATGCAGACAGGCAACCAAGAATTGCCTTTAGATTCGAGCATCCAAGCCCCGGGGGAGAAGCCAGCGCAAATTATTATGACAGGTAGACGCTGCAGTCTATACTTTGGTTTTCGTTCAAGTCCTCATTTGGTGGATCATGACTCGTATCACCTCCGAGGGATGCACCAACTGGGTATTGTTGCACCGACTGATGGACTTTCAAGTCCTCAAAACCATGCTTTTCATAGCTCATGAATGAACCCAATGCTCCAAGAAATCCTTCGTGTTTTAAGAACATTGCTTTTGCCTCACCTTTAGACCTGAAAATAAGGATCAAATGAATGAAATTTTTACCCCAAAAACACGAGGAAAGATGGATGAGCAAAAAGCTAAATCAGGCACAGAATGTGACACAACCGTCAAATTTATATTTTGAAGATTCTTTTGACATAATTTATACTTCAATTCTCAGTATGAATCAATTCTGACGCATGAAAAAGGACATTAAATTCAGCCTTACCAGAAATGAACGGCAACAGCAATCGTGTCCATGGTGTAAGCATGGCCCCGAATGAAAAATCCAGCAAAGAATATTCGCTTGAGCCCAAATCTCAGTGCATTCAAGTATGAGATCTGGAGAGGACAAAAATTGAAACAATATGATCAGTATGTTAATAAAAATAGTTTCAATCTTCTGGAAAAGGTTACGACAGAATCAAATAGTTCCAGAAATTTTATTCATTGCAAGTGACACAAGTTTCTTTCACCATGGTTTACCTGTCCAACATTATTTGAAATCATTCTTAAGAGGGATCGAGAAATATCTTCAGGTTTGTAATCTTCCAGCTCCTTATTATCAGAAATTGCTTTGCCAAAGCTAGAAGCAATGGCTGTTGATACCAGACCAATCTGTAATCATCAGAGAAATTACATTGCAATTAAATAGCAGTGAGACGAAAGCTAATGGAAACTAGGATCCCCTCATCGTTGTTTAAATTTAGGAACTCTTTTAATTTGGCATACAGAAATTCAACCAGAACGTATTCAACGTCCTAAGTCGAAAGAGGGACCTGTCTGTCTTGAATATGCATACCTTTGTATAGTCCATTCCACCATAGATGTCCCCGACAAGCATGTCTATCACTCTATTATTTCCCCGATGACTTAACTCCAGCAACTCGTCAAAACTGAGGCACAATTGCAGCTTTGGCTATTAAGTGAAAGTCATATAACAAGAATATCAATAGCTCTGTACATAAGCAAAAGACAACGTACTTCTTGCACTTTGTTAAAAGCTTCCCCAAACCCCAAAAGGTGCCACCACCAACATTGGTTCCACTTACTCGCTCAAACTTACCAGGTCCATCTACCTATCCAAGCGCAATGCATAGGACAATGTCAAGCCTTAAAAAGGTTAAACATATGAAACTACTACAGTAAATAAAGCATTGGCTTTGATGAGAATACCTTGATCATACTGACACCAGAACCAATATTGACAAGCAGATAGGGATATAGATCATCATGGTCAATCTTCACAAATTCTTTCTGACCACCCATGTATGTGAATGCTTCAGGGTGAACTGCCTACTTAAAAAACAATCAAAATGGCAAAGCTACTTTCAGGCAAGAAAGCAAACAAGACAGAAAATTTGCAATAAAGTTACTCACATAGAGTACTGAGCAACAATACTTGAGGGTATCTTGTGCAGAAATATCTCTATAAATAGAAGCTGAATTTTGCAGACAAGCAAAGAAAACTTCCAATGAAGTTGTCCGTGGTTTTGTTCATCCCTATATTTCTGTAGTGCTAAACAATAAGAAATATCTCTATAAACAGAAGCTGAATTTTGCAAGTTCCACATTTCACAACTCATTCACTTTGATCTTCCTTCTGAAAGAAAACAGAGAGAATTTCCTCTTGTTTTGAGCTTGCTAGTGCTCATCCCAATTCCCAACCCACACATTCTATGGCTCACGTGACAGGACTTAGGAAACGCACCAAATTGAACATACCAATCTATGTTAGTGGTATTAGGATCCCACCTTAAGCAGAAAATTTGCTCCGGCCACAAGACAGTCCATTTCATCTGCCTTGTCAAGAGAAATCCCAAGCTTTTCTTTAAAGAGATCTGCGTACTTGAATGCCCCACCACCTGTGGCCTGCTCACCATTGTCAATAAATTAGCTTCCATACATGGCAGAAAACAGTCATACAATGGCCAAACCAAACAATTGGTTTTTACCTTAATAACGCACTTCGCGCTCCCAGAAGCTCCGTGTTGTTCAGAGCCTGAAATCATCTACAACCATAAGCAATGACCCAAAACCAGAAAATGATAACTACAACTACTGAACAAGCAGCTATATTCAGGGCATATATGATCTTCTTTCGTATTTCATTTTCAGAAGTACAAATCTTCCGAAACTACAAAATTTTCGCAGTCAAAAATATGGGTACTAATTTACTTAAGCTGAAGTAGTTCATTTACCAATAAAAATGGTAGTTTGAACTTTCAATCCAAGATTTCAACATCAACACTTAGTTTAACAAAACAAGGTTAAATAGCCTCAATTAGTGAAAAAAATGAATCTTCCCATTTCCCAAGTTGATTGAAACGAAAAATGATAAAAATGAATCAGGAGATGGAAAGCAATCAAATACTTGTTAAGCATTAAGCATACCAGTAAGGCGAAGTTGCTTGGATCGAATGAAGTCTATACAGTCATTGATTTTCTGAGTTTCAAACTTTGCAAAATGGAGCTTCCCTTCAAGAACAGGACGCCCTCTATCGCCATTAGAAGCTGCTAAGCTATCATTCGAAGAAGACGAATCGTCACTGTTCGTTGAGAAATACACCAACTTTATCAGAGAACCTGCCAACAGACAAAACAAATACAAAAACAATCGAAAAATCAGAGAATTTGAGCAATTGAACTCCAAAAACAAAAACCAGGTTATGATCGAGGAGAGTGAATTGCCTCCAATATCGAGAGCAAGGTGGGAAATTTGAGCTTCCGAATTGGTGGGTTTTGAAACCTCTGTAATTCCAACGTTCCCAATTTCCATTTCGGGTCGGCTTCCTCTTTTGAATTGAGCTTTTTTTGGAATCAAATTGCACTGTTGCCCCTCTGCAGTCTGCGCTGCACCTAACCCATTGTATATATACTTTTTTTGGGGGGTCCCGGTCCCTTCTTCCTTCCTTCCCACACAGAATTTCAGTATTCGATGCGTTAGATTTCTCGGGAGATCACTCTGTTCAATCTCAACCTTTGACTTTCAAACGGGAGAAGGTAGGCGTTGGCCTTTATTTTATAAGGAAACTAATGGAAAGGGTTTGAAAAATTTGAGTTTTAATGATAAGGACAAAATAAAGGGTAAAGTGAATAGTACCAGGATTGACTTTTTAGTGTAAAAATATGGTTTTTCGTTAAAGTGAACAGTACCGGGTGCTTTTCATTAAAGTTCCCTATTTTATATCTCTCTCCTTGCAGAGGCGCAGTTGGGTCAATCGCCGAGGGTAGTTTTGTAATTTTACAGCAAGTAGTTTATATTTCGATTATTTATCAAATATAGTAAAAAATTAATTTTTAATTTCAAAAATGTCACTTTTTCAAGAATCGGTTGTTCAAGTTTGATCCTCTCCATATGTTATAAACAAATAGAGGATTTAATATATTTTTTTACGTCTCTTCACTTATATTATGACATTTAAAATACCAGCTTATACACCGAGCACTATGAAAATTTTCTCGACTTGAGAACACGCTTTCTGATAGAAATATCCATACTATTGTATGTTTAAAGTTCATGTGTATTCTAGAGAGTATATGAATGTGTTAAATATGTTTATACATTTCCAAGCGCATTAACGAAGCCAGAATTTTAGCCTATGAGGGCCCAAATGTCTCAATCCAAAACACTTCTGATCTTACAAAAATTACTTTGTTATTTGAGTTTGGTATGGTGTTGTCCTCATCCTTGAATTTAAACCCCAAGACTCTTTGACTCTTTGACTATGTTCTTCCCTCTCTTTCCACTAAATCCTATACCATAGTCCGTAAGGCGAACAAGCAACAAATTATCTAAATTCCAAACCCAATAAAAGAAATTAAAATAAAAACATTGGAGTGGGGTATTGAGACTACGGAAAGCTTTAAAAATCATAAGCATAACACTAAAAATTTTCTCGAAAAAAAAAATATTAGGATAGACTTAGGACCATCCTGGTCCCTTCATTACTCCACCTAAGCGTTGTTAACTTGTACCAAAAATGTGATTATTGCACCTATAACACAAAACATTGCGTATAGTAATGGTAATTATGAATTATTGATATATAAATAGCGACTAGTCTAACTGCCCAACTCTCATCTTTATTATTCATCGCTACAAAAAACGTGTCAACTGCTTTCTTCCTACCAAAATATTCCTCGCTGCCCTCCAGCGATTTGTTTGTCTTCGCCCGCTCTACAAAACATTATCATAAACATCATGTGCTTTTATTTTGGATTTTTACTAAACAAGATAGGGAATTTTAGGTAGCTAAGCCTGCCGACAGCATCATTTTTAAGACATATCTTCTCTCGCGAAATATGAGCTTACTCTTTCTATATTTTGGTCTTATCTAAATTTATGTTACTTTTCAAATTTTACGATATGAGAGTCGTCATAATCCCGTTACATTATAACATTATATTGAATCCCTCTCTGGTGCTCATTACTATATATTAAACGTGCGTGGCATCAACAGGTTAAGTAGGTTATTATTGAGCTCCTCTTGCAAATTAAATTGCAATCTAGGGAGTGGGGAATGCGGATTATACATATCAAGCTGACCGGCGCACTGGCGCTTGTTGTTGACTGCAACCGGTGTCGTGACAGTGAACACGATTTGACCGACTGTTTCTTTAATAGGTAAGTCCAAAGAGTCCGTCCAGCAGTCTTTCGGAGACTGACGGAAAAAGTTACTCTATGAATATAGCAACGATTCTTTCTGGATTCTTTTTATGAGAATTTTGAGGATTTTTTAATTATATTCACTTATCGTACGTCGTACAGTCGGAAAGTATTATATTTAAAATTAAATACAAATAGCACATGACGAAAATAGACCGTACGATTTATATTAATGAATATGAAATCCTTACAAAGAAGATCAGAAGAGTATCCTCACGTTATAGCAACAAGGAAAAAAGAGTGCTACTTTTCATTTATTCTCTAAAGCATTGACTTGCACTTCCACAACTGAGAGTTGAGTGGTGGTGATTTGTGTGGAAGGAATGCTAGACTTTATTTTCCACTTTCTCATCGACTTTCATCATTGTTTTATTTCCACCTATTTCATCTCACATTCACCACATGATTTACGTGATGGGTATGATATAACATGCATGGAAATATGTTTGACAACGAACAATATGGATAATATATCACTGCTACATAGTAGCATGACGTTCTATACTAATAATACAAGAACGTGTATTTAACATTTTCTCACATATTTTTGTGTTATTAACACATAATGCTACAGTGGCAGTGCATGTATGTCATACAAGTTTTATGAGAGGACCAAGAGTCCACCATTAAAAGCTTTATGAGGGGACCAAGAGTCCAAGACCACATGTATAGTTTTAATAGAGATGCTAACTGTGGGAGGACAAAGAGTCTACCATTAAAAACTTTTTTGTCTCCTAGTATTTATGGCACAATGTTTTATAATAATTAACGTTAAAATGTAGAAGGACAAAGAGTCCATGAAGAGTCTCACTTTGAGAGAGTCTATTTTGCATTTCTCATAGTTTTACCAAACCCACCCTACTCTGCTAGTTTTCAAGCTTTACAAGGGATACGTTACCCAACTTCTAGGAGGGACAATAAATGGCTGCATTAATCTCTATTAATTAATGAAACCCTCTTTGTCAACTAAAAGAGGATGAAAAGACAACTTAGTATTCTATCACACAAAAAAAAAAGATGGGCAATAATGTAATTTCACAGGTCCAAAATTTTACTATTTTTTATTGAAGCCTCACCTACATATGATGTTAAAATATCTCTAATATTTAAAATTTATATAAAATAAAAAAACCAAAAACAAAAACATCACACTCCCTCCACATTCTCTCTCTCTCTCTCTCTCCCTCTATCCTTATCATTTTATAAAAAAATGTGTTCATACACACAAAATGTGTAGGCAAATGCTAGTTTCTGATAATGAGAAGTCTTATGATCAAACCAAATTATTATGATGGCTTCTCCATCCTTAGTAAATATATTGTTATATATATATATATATATATATATATATAAAACTGCATCTATATATATAAAACTGCATGAGTAAATATACTATTACTGCATATGAAGGCTCTAATAAAGGGAGAACGCAACCCCAAAAAAATGCATTACTTCCCAATCAGATAACACATTAGATTCTTTTTTTATTTATGCAGTAGTTGTTATTGGAATTTTTTTTTTTTATGCGCTTTTAATTGGATAAATCACTAGATATTACCAAATCCGAGACCTTTTGGATAGCCAACCACGACCCCTGACCAACATGGGCCTAAGCCCATCCATTCTGATCCAATTGGTCCCAATTCGAATCCTACCCATTCAGATAAAAACGGGCCCAAATAAAAGCCCACAATTTAAAAATGCTCATAAAAAGGAGGAATAATATGTCGCTACATTCACGAACGGAAACGGCGGGAGTTTCAGTCTTCTCTCCCAAAATCCAAATACAGAAAGATGACCATCGCTTCAGCCCAAGACCTCTGCCTGCAAGTGAGTTTAAATCTCCACCTAAAAACTTACAAACGCTCGGATCGATTCGATTTCTGTCGCCGTTAACTTCCGCACTTCGGTTTTGCAGTTAATTTCGTCGGCATTTCAAAGATGCCGCACGTCGGAGGACCTCTGCAGACTCTCCGTCCTTCTCAAGCGCTCTCCGCCGTCTGATCCCCGCTCCGTTCAAATTTCAGGTATCTCGCCGCCCTTCTAATTCTCTCACTCTCTATGAGTTCGATTTTTGCTTGGGATTTTTGGAAACGAAACGGCGTGGTCTCGAGCGGCAAACGGTGTGTGTGGTTAGTAAAATGACGAATATGGGCTTGGTTTCCGTCTGATCAGTCTCGGATACCGGCGTGGGGAGCTGCGCAGAGGAGTTCGGAGGTTTGAAGCTTCGTAGGGAGGCATTTGGCGCGCAAATTTGGGGTACGTATATGAGTGAATTTACCAAAATGCATACTCGTTTGCGGTTTCTATGTATCAGTTTGGTTTACATGGCCGCATTGTGATGCAGATGGATTGCTTTTCGTCACAACCACCGGTGAATTCCGATTTCTCTGCAGTAACTGTGCTTTGTTTTGATTAAAATTCAAAACGACTGAGTTTTGAAGTTCGGTTTTGTGATTGCTGATTGAATGAATTTGTAAGAATTGCAGGTATTGGTGATGATGAGATACATCATTACCAGTTGAATCTGAAAGAAAGTGCGTCGGGGAGACGGTTGACCAGGCTGCCTTCAAATCTTAAGAATGGACTCCAATTCAGGTATGCAAATCACTTCAACCTTTGTGCTGCTGAATATTTTATTTTAGGTATTTATCTTTCAAGTTATGCACATAGCTGATTTGTGATTGTTTCTCGGTGTTCAGTGGGACTGAAGTACGTCTGTCAATTTTCGAAAGCATTGATGTTTTGCTGCCAGCGTTTTGTTGCTTCTTTCGGAAGATCCTCATGTTGAAGATCCCGGTAAGATCTACATACAACTTTATGTGGCAGAAGATTTACAAGTTCGCAATCCTATTGTGTTACATCGAGTTGGTTAATAATAAAAGAGAGGAGTTACTTGATCCAGTGTGTGTATAGTAGTGTGCCTAACTACAATTATGACTTCAGCAGCGACTAATCGATCAGCTTCAATTGTTTTTTTCCCCCAGAATGTTTCAATTGAACTGGTAGTTGAACAAGGGGATGCTCCTGGATCTAGATACGTAAATGTTTTTGTAGCGAATGAGGGGAGGAACCCTTTACCTTTTGCAGCCTCAAATCTTGAACGTTTAAGGTCAGGGGTTGAAGACTACGTTTTTAAGCATGGGAATACATTAGGGAAAAAATGCGAGTCATGCTTCTCAAGTGGGTAAGTAAGTTACAATGAAATTCATGCCAGTTTCCTCTCTATTAGGCCCGAATTGCCGTTGATTGAAAGTTTGTTTTGTGAGTCTTAACTGTTACTTAAAATCTTTTAAGGGAGCATCTCAAGATTGG